TCCTATTTTTCACCTGAAATCACATAACAAAACTTAGTCCCTTTGCCTTCTCTGCAACCCTACTGGCATATGATGCAGAAAAGACTGTTGGTATCTAGTGAACCTAGACATCTGGCTTAGACATTAACAACAATAATATTAGTATCAATGTTATCTTTTTTTTTTTGACAGTGGTGGGAAAGGACAGCATATAACACTGCTTAGGATATTCTTCAATTACCCAGGTAAAACATATCCATACTCTAATAACTAAAACCCACTAAATTGTACTAATAAAGCCAGCTAAAAAAACCCCTTGGCATAGCCAAGGCACCCTGCACCTTGGTCTCTGGAAAGCTGAAAACTGCTCAAGTCACTTTAGCTCCCCCTTTTTTGCTCCTGTATATGGCTGCATTAAATCAAATATTTTTAACCAGTGCTGGAAGCTATTTCCAAGGGTGAAACAGAGGCCACTCATTTATGAAGATTTGCCTTAGTTTATAGCATATATTTCTTAAATTCTTGTTAATATTCAGAAAGTGGTTATTTAATAGCCCACTAATTGAATTAGTCCCTGGTTTTAGTCTTTAAGCTCTATTCTGCAAATAAAAATGAAGAAGAGAAACAGTTCAAGCACGTCGCAGTATAGCTACCACATTAAGAAATACTAAAGACAGAGTCAATTGCATGCATTAATCTTCAATTAAAAGCATCAGAGGAACTATAATCTAGTACCTAGAGTACTAGACTAGCTACGAAAAGCCACCCATTTGTATGCACCTCCCATGAGATGGGGAAAAGAAATACCCCTCTAAGTTCTCGTTTTCCTTTTTACCTTTTGTCTGCCTTAGCATTTATTTTTGTAGTAGTTGTAGCAGGGGCACTCTCTATGTGTGTAAAACCCCCCACTGGCTCTGCAGCATTGGGTGAGCAGCCAAATGGCTAACTGCAATTAACATCAAGCAACCTATTTCCGAGACACTTAATCTTTTCTGTAACACTCTCAGAAACCTTACAGATAAACCAAAAAGAGGTGGCCCGCGGCAAAGAATAATAGAAGCACACAAATTATTTCCAATGAAAACATTATAGTCCATCTTTGAGCAGTCTCCCTCACTCCCATGACTGCTGTGCAATTCCCAGACTGATAACATATGAACCTGTTTTCTTGTTAGCTTTTTTCCAGACATCCAACTTTACATCTTGGCTAGCCTCTCCAAAATGGATATTCCCCCATAAACAGCAGCATGATGCAGCCAAAACAAAGCTTATGGTTCTCCTTCCATTAAGCCCTATTACCCCCATTTCAAGCAGTCTTAGATTAGCACCCACTTCTGTCTTTCCTGCATTCCCCAGATCTAAGCTGTGCCAATCTTGCTGCTTTCCCTCTGCAACCCCAGCATCTCTAGAATCCATTCTGATAGTGAAAGTTCTTTTTCTCATCCGTATCTCCAAGTTTCTCAGTTCCCTATGGTAATAGACACTAGCAGACACCAAATATTACCACCACCGTTATGCTTCCATTCTTGCCATTTTGGGAGACATACCTTTATTTCTCCAGGCGGGTTCCCGACTCAAGTCAGCATTTGCAAATATATTGTATTTAGAGTGATTTTGCACAACACACAGTATCCAACTGCATTAGCTTTTATATCCCCTTTGTCAACACAAACATTTGCTCTCTATTTGTTCCACATCCACCCATTTCTGAACACACATATCCACTTACTCAAACATGTGGCTGGAAAAGCACATGATCTTTGCAGCCCATTCTCAGCTGGTTCTGCTACCCCCCAGTAACCTCTCAACAAAATTCCCTTTCTTTCCACCAGCTGAGAGGCAGGGATGCATAGCTCAGTAGAAGGGCTGAGGTTAAAGCAGAGCAGTTCCCTAGGCCTCAAGGAGTGTCTTATCACTGTCTATCAGCATACCAGGACAACAAAAACCTCCACTCCTCATGCAACTAGCTTGCCCCAGGCTTGTCTCTGCATTCTGGTATTTGGCTCTCCTTCCCCATGGTAGATAAAACACTCCCCAGAGGCAAAACTTCTTAGTAAGCACTCAGCCCTTTGATCTCAAAAGCAGCTGGTGCACAGCTGCTCCCCGTTACTTTTGCAGCTCTCAGGAACCTTTTGGATTTTCCTGTCCTTTCTCACAGGAAGGCACAAAGGGCAAGAACACCACCAGCAGCCATCTTTCATTCTCACACAACAACTTTTATTTCTCTCTCATGTGCTCTTCCCTCCTAACCTGTTCCCCAAGCATGTGAGCAATGCTGTTCTGCTCCTTCTCTCAGGAATAGTCTCCCCCATGCCTGGGGAGACTCAGTCTGTCCTTACAGACAGGTAGGGCACAGGCTGCTGTCCCCGATTCCAGGAAAATCTTCCCTCAGGTCACAGTTGTTTGCAGGTGGCATGAAAGCAGCCAATTCCACCCCAGTTTCTCTTCTGTGCAACTACAAAGCCCAGCAAGCCCAGGAAAGCCTGCCTCCTAAGGGGGAGGCACACCATCAGACCTTGCTAGGAAAGCATGGATCTGGTTAATGCAGTATCTTCTCAGACAGTCTAAGAACAGACCAACTGCAGAGACTATTAACAGCACAAGGTTTTCAATGATACTTTGTACAGGTTTAAAGCAAATAGAGAAAAGCCAGAAACCAACTCAGCATCTCAAATAAGTTGCAAGATCCAGAGACAGGATTTTAATCCCTTCTTTAGGTGGAAAAGACATTTGAAGCAACCACCAGAAGACAACTAGGTATTGTAGGAAGCAGCACAGCCAAATGACTCAGCCTGTAACACTGAGCTTTGAGAAGTATTTACAGTCCCTTGCCTATGTAGATAGGAGGCAAAGGGAACCATTGACCAATCTGATGAGATTTCCCTAGATATCCATAAAAGATTACCCTTAATACTCACATGCTGGGGAGAACTGATAGGGCCAAGACGCCTGCTTCTCAGCCCGCCTTCCAGAATTGTCTCAGTGAAACTATCACCATGTACCCACCACCACTTCTGCAGCAGCTACTTCAACAATGATCCCAAGGTGCTCTGCAACCAGGTGCCAATTAGAAAAATCACTTCACCTGGTCTTACAGCTGCCATTTCAGAGCCAAGGCCAATAGCTGCTGCACTCCTGCTGGGAGTATGAAACATATGTGTAAGACTTCATTCCTTTCTCTCAGTTAATAAGGGAAGCAAATCCACCAATACAAGATTTTTACTTACGGATAGCAGTTGGGTTTTTTCCCCAAGCAGTATACATTACATTTGTTTGTGTGCATGTATACACATTGTGGGGGAAAGTTAGTTTTATAGAACCTAACAGAAAGATGAACACATTCGCTGGAGCAGCTACAAACTTCATCCAACTTTTCATAAAGATTTAAGATTTTTAACTTTGTATTAGAACTTTTGCTGCAATTGTAACTTCCAGGAAAAGCCCAAGCTTTTAACAGACTTTCTGATCAAGGGGAAAAAGGGAAGACGCTTCTGGTTACTAGTCTCTTTTGTGAAAGTTGACACATGGCATAATCCCTCAATAGACACTTTCAAAAGCAAACTGTAGCCAACAACTGAAGCTATTTGCACTGATGCATAGTAATGAAACATGTTTGAGCCAGCCATGTTAAATATTTACTAGTCAAGTGTCAAGCCATGAAATTCCCCAGACCCTTGTCCATTCAGTTTGTGATCATGTAAGTCCATGTCTGTACATGTGACAAGGTGGCTCGTCTGCTCCTGGTAACCTACTAGAAACATCTCATGGCAGGAAAATTTTGAAGAACAACGTAATGATTTAGAAAACTGTCTGCTGATTTGTGAAACATGTAACAAAACTTGAGCAAAAGGGGTTATGTTTAGTGAAGGTGTATGACAAATAAATACCATCCAGTACATCATCCAGGATGATTCTCCTCACTGAAGAGAGCCAATAAGCAGATTAAAAAAGAAAGCTCAATTGCTTCCCATGGGCCTTCTCCTTTTCTTTTTTCCTTTCTACTCACCCTGATAGGGGATCTTGGTGTTTCCACTACAGCTATGCCCTAACTTCCACTACCAATCTCTTGCTCCATCAAGCAAACATTTTCCACTTTAGCACTGCACTGGTACTTTAATGATACATACCCACTCCATGAAACAAAAACCAAGTAACACCCATTGCCTCCTCCCCCTCAAACCACCCTCCAACCTTTGATGGATTTCAACAGGTGTTAACCTGGGTTCTTCACAGCTGCCTATGCTTTCAGCATTACTGCTTATTGTTAACAAAACCTGTTTCAGTTCAACTGCATTGTTTGAGGACATGTCCACAGTGTTCTTCCCAGATACACGTCTGCAATAATGTGACAGCGCAATCTTAGATCCATGAGTTGTCCTGTAAGCAAGAACCACAAGCTACTTTTAAAAGTAGAGATTTGGTGGGGGCGGGAGTTGTGTCTGTGGAGATCAATTAAGAAAGCAAGCAGCAGCCTTTTGCATCACTGTTAAAAATCAACATCTGATAACCAACTGTGACCTGCGAAATCCAAAAAACAGGTCAGTAAGCCTTTACTTTTTCCATGTTCAGTGGGTGCTCCTCCCACTGTCATGTACCTCCTTTCTCCTCACCTTTGTTCTCCTTCCCCCTACCAAATTATGGAGAACTCATCCCCCTTTTTTTCTTTTATTTGCTAGCATGTAGGCTGAAATGTCTTAAACATGAATTTGAAGGTTTTACAGATCTTTAATGTAAAGAAAGAAAACACTAAATCCCAAAATGAACTTTCCCCCCAAATAATTTAGCTAGCAATCTGTAAAACTAACTTTCAAATTCCAAAATTACTTCTGGATAAAAGGAAACCACCTACAGTCAACTCCGAAGAACTGGAACTCTCAAAACCATATCTTTTTCTTAAAGCTAGAATTGTTAAGTCTTTCAGAAGGCACTGTATGACAGTGAAGAAACAAAAATCCATTCCTTCCATTGTAGGTCATCCTTTAAGAGCTATCAATAATGGAAAAACATATACAGCCTCTTAGTACTTAACTTGTTACCTAATTACTTTTATAAAAACTATCTTACAGTTTCTATACAGTAATGTGGGAATATTAGAAAGCTTATTCTGTAGACATAGCTTTATGGAGGGCAATCATCATTAGTTCCTACAGCCATCTGAAGCCAGTAGTCCAGATTTCTAAAAATGACAAAGTTGTACAAGTTCTCTCCTCCCTTGTGGAAACCATGTTCATTTTCTCTCCAGGAAACAGGGCTGTCTGCAAAACCATGCACAGTTAAGGTCAGCCAATACGCCAGTTTTGGTTCACCAAAATAGCAACTGCAGGGAAGAAGACAAGATAATCAATAATTACAGTGGAATAGGCAGCATGTTCAAGTATACACATTAAAAAAAAAAAAAAAATCAGACACAGGCATTTCAGTGAAAACTTGTCATTAACAGTTAAAAAATCTGCTTTATTTATACGTTATATATGTAATATAAAACTATGTAACATGTATAACAATGTAATAGTTATATATTATATACATAATAAATAAATTAAAAAGAAAAACTTCTATTGGAAGACAAGAAGTGAAATAAGATTGACTCTGGATTATTCCTACCACACTTTCAGACATGGCAAACCTGGAAGTTACAGCAATTAGAAAAAGTTCTAAGCATGCATTGTCTTTCAGAATATAAAACATTTACTGAGAATACTTTCTATCAGGGCAAAAAAGACATAGGAGGAAGAAACATAGTCAGGCTACGCCTGACCCATACTTTTACCACCAGAAAGGAAATGGATCACAAATAATCAAAGCCAAACATTATCCACTGCTCTTTAAAGCAAAGAATAAAAGCTAAGGAAATTTGTGTTCCAACTCTAGCCTAGGGAGGCTTTCTGCATGAGATTTGAAATTACTCAGAGTAGCGATCATGTTCCAGATAAAACAACAGCAATATTGTTGTGAGTCAGTGCTACAATCATTAGCACTTTAAGAATTGTCTCATACATGAAGCAAGGAGCTTCCAGAATTTGCTATCAGTAGCACTAATATGCAATACAGACAGACACCACACTGATCCATGATACAGTAGTATCATGTAGTTTGGTATTAAACTAGAACTACAGCTATCCTGGTCACCACTATCCAGCGTCCTGTGTCTATATAACACTTGATTCAAAAAACTCACTATAATTTATTGTAATGGCATAACCACCTTGAAGTACCTTGTGATTCTCTTTTTGGTATCCTAAAGGGATTTCAATCATATTTTCCATCAGTAGTTAAAAATACTACATCAGAGAAATTTGAGGGCATTTGATTTTCATAGACCAGGGGAATTTGAAAAATATCGAGCTCAGCAGAGCCACTGTTTCTTAGAAATTAAGATAAACAGCAAAGTCATTACTAGAATACAGGACAGGCATTCTTAAATTTGGAGTACCCAAAACTGTTTATTGCTTTTTTTTTTTTTAATACCAACGTTAAGCTTCCAGCTCATTTCCTAGTTAAAAAAGTCTTCATTTTGTATATTTTGCTATTTACCTCCAACAGCACTACTGAAAAGAAGTATTTAAAAGTGATTCCGAAAATTAAAAAGTGTTAAGAGTACAAATGTTTTAGTAATGTACTCCTATCAGCCCTTACCATAGCTGCTCCAATAACTGAATTATCTTCTCAGGAATTATAAAGCCTGTGATTGTACACAAAAAAGCTTTTTCCACCATTGTGTTGGGCTGAGGACAGCAATAGGTTGATAAGAAGCTAGATGATTTGTTGTCTCTGGAAAAAAAAAAAAAACACAACACCAAAACAACTAAAATAAATATACTTTAAATCTTCTACAGTAAGTCTTAGTAATCAAAACTTTTGTACTAACAAGTAGTACCGATGTCTACCATCTAAATTAATACTGAAACAACCAATGGCCAGGCAATTAATACACAAGATGTCATGGTGCTGTAAGTTAACCTTAGTAAGCATCTGAACACTGCACAGCCACTCACTCACTCCTCCCTAGCAGGATGGGGGAAGAGAATCGAACGGGTAAAAGTGAGAAAACACGTGGGTCGAGATAAAGACAACTTAATAGATAAAGCAAAAATTGCACATGAAAGCAAAGCAAACTAAGGAATTAATTTTCTACTTCCCATTGTCAGGCAGATATTTAGCAGCCTCCAGAAGAGCACGGCTTCATCATATGTAACTGTGACTTGGGAAGACAAACGCTGTAACTCCAAACGCTTCCCCTCCTTCTTTCCTCCAGATTTTATGGCTGAACATGCCACCATATGGACGGGATATCCCTCTAGGCAGTTGGGATCTGCTGTTGTGGCCGCGTTACCTCCCAATCTACTTGCTGGCAGGGCAGCATGAGAAACAGGAAAGACCTTGATGCTGTGTAAGCACTGCTCAGCAATAGCTAAAAGATCCCTGTGCTATCAACACTGTTTTTGTCATAAATCCAAAACACAGCACCACAAAAGCTCCAGTACACATGGGTGCCCCCAAAAACACAGAGAAGTTATTCAAGACTTAGAACAAACACTTAAGTGCATAACAGGCTTCCCACTTAGAGAATGAATCTTTCTTAATTCTTATTTAGCTCTTCCTTAAAATAACTTTTGGCTTTCCTTACTGAAATGTATTTAAAGATCAAACAAATTCAAATACTTACAAGCTAACTTGATTCAAGACAGCACCTAGCCATTCGAACAGTTCCTCTGTACTGCAGGACTCATCAGTCTTTCCTTGCAGTTCGTTACTTTGTATCACAGGGCACTGCAAGTCCCTTAAGGTGCTGAATGTTATTTTTGGCTTCAGGGCCCGTATTTGGTTTTTTGAAAAGTATGACATCAATGTTGATCCCTCTGCACCTTAACAACACAACACCACAAAGAGCTGTTACAAAACTACTAAACAAAAGGAGCACTGAATACATGAAACCTTTGCATATGCATACAGGAAAATGCAGTGTGTAAACTGCTTACATGCTGTTATCTTTGGCAAAAGCCATAGAATCTTCAACTTCCCTATCTTCTTGGAAATAAAACAGTGCAAGGTCCAGCAACTCAGTATAGATCAGTACAATTACTATTTAACTATAAAGTATAGATTTGTCAATAGAAAATTCAAGCAGAATTAACCAGGCAAGTAATAAAACAAAATGAACTCATTAGGAAGAGGAATTTAGAGTGCTCCTGAAAAGGAACACATGAAAGGGAGCAGGAACACATGTTAACTGCTCCCCAAGACAAAGTTGCCTGCAAATGCACCCACACCTATACTCATGAGGCCAGAGAACATTTTGCCTTACTAGTGTCCATAGGCATATTTCCTCCATGCTCATGCACAAGTATTCGCTACTGTAGAAGGGTGACATGTGCCTTATACCATTAGGTCATCTCTAGAAATTCCTTGGGCATTGCACCATAAGAGAGATAATACATGTGGTAGATGTGTCATCTTTGCATACATCTCCAAGACTGGATAAAGGGAACTAAGCTCAGATGAATTCAGGCAGTATTCCCTCCAAAACCAGAGTGTCTAGAGGGATCCCACCATCACCAGTTCACTAAGAACTGCCTCCTAGACACATCATGGCTTCTAGAATCATGAACAACTCCAATGGAATAAATTCCTGCAGATCTCAGGAATACTTTGCAAAAAGCTATAGTGTCATTTAAATGCTCTTGGAACATGCCTTCACAACTGCAGAAGTTTCCCTTTTCATTGTCCTAAAAGGCATACAGTCTTCTATTCAACATGTCAAGTTAGTGGATCTCTTCATTCTCTGAGCAGAGAACAAAAACATGTAAGAATCCTTGCGAGGTCTGATCCCATCACTAAAGACCACATACTTGATTTCCTAGGTGTGATGGCAAATTTAATTTAGAATCCAAAAGGTTTTGCAGAAAAATTCTTAATTTACAGTAAATTGAGAAATCATCTTCAGATAAGGCATATTTGGCAAGTCAAGTAGTCATCAAGACTAGAGACTCTCCTACCCACCCAGCTAAGGTGGCTGCTATCGCAGAACACTGTTTTCCCTGAATAGTGGAAAAATGAGCAGGTGACTACAGATTTGAGAAGATTTATCCATGATGTCAAGAGGAATTCTACGATAGTCTGGGGGCAAGGATTGAAGCGAGAAGGAAGGGGGGAGGATAAAGAAATCAAACTATACCACAAATCTCACTTTACTAGGATCAGAAAAGAAAAAAACAAACAGTAGTAAGTCTTCAAATGCAGTACGGCTATAACAGTTATATGTACCTTGATGAACTTGTGGGAAAGGCCATGTTTCCTCAACTCTAGTAAGTGATCCAAAACAGCAGCTAAAATTCTAAAAACCCAACGTAGACTAAAAACCTAACCTAACCTAAGCAAGCATATTGCAAATTAAGAGATATTAACCAACTTCCTTTTTGAAGCAGTAAGATGACTGACACAGAATCAATTCTCCTAAACTTGAAATTCCAGATAATGTATTCTATTTTCATAAAGTAACAATAGGCCTCTAGGTGCCCAAGAAATAATACCTTATTCATGAGAAGTCTGAAGTCCAGAATAGCATTTAAATACCGCAGGAAAGGCATGTATGAACAGAAGACATTCAAGAACAGGATAGAGTTCAGTGTGGAATACAATATCCAAGACTTGCTATCAAAAATTGTGGACTGCCTAAACTCCATCAGCCATATTTATCTCACCAATGACAATCACACAGGGAAGTAGGGCTAACCTGATCCTTTTTAGTCATCCTTAAAAAAAGGCTGTCCAAGTACCAAAGGGCACAGCAAGAAAGACAGGCAGCCGCTGAATTCTTATTCATTTAGTATTCTTATACAGATATATTTAAGTCTGAGGTATGTTAGAACAGATGATCTTCCTTCAGCTTGTATTTCCTATTGGCATTTGTTAGGCTAACAGGTTCAAACAATGTATAATATTGCCCTAGAATTCTTAGTCAGATTAAAAAAAAATTATACATTTTAAATGTCCGCTCCATATGGGCATGTCAGATATAGTTCTAACTTCAAGAAATCTCAAAGACTACAATCAAGACTCCAAGAGAACAATTCCTCTAGCTACAGCATAGCTTTCCATGTCAACAACAACCAGGCACACTGTCAAAGTTTTTTGGAAGCCAGTGAATTTCAGCCACTAAACATTTTAAATTGTCATAGAAATTAGAGCAGTAGAAGAGAGAAGAAAAGATCGTTTTGCCTCTGTCATTAAACATATGAGACACTCCATATACCCTTTTTCTGTTCCTCTTGGTGCCAGAACCATTAAGTGGGAAAAATGGGTATGAAAACAAAAAAATCTGCTTTTGGAAAGTGACATGAATGTTTATAGGTTTGTAGCAGTGCTGGCCATAGCAAGAAACACGTTATCA